GTCCAATTGTCAATATGTGATCAGGTTCAAACTGGTGGATTTCTAATTTCGTATGACGAAAATTGAAAAATAATCGAATTTTTTGGGAAATTAATTATGTTTGGATCACGTCATATGGTGTTTTGGACATCCTCCTATATGCGGGCTTTCATGAAAAGTATACGCGAAAGTGCATAAAAGTAATGATGAGTTTTTGATGCGTTATTATCAAAACAAAAGAATAATTTTACTACGAGTGTAGGATATTTACTCGCCCGCCTTGCCCGACTGTAATGTTCTTACTTGTTTTTAGATTGTTGCACTTTGTTACCAGCAGCTGATCAAACAATTACACGCGCACTTTTCTAAATGGCTTCTACCTATAATACGTATGTGTCGGTATATTAGAGTGGAATGAAAATTGTCTCGCATTTATTCAAACTACAAATTGTGAATTTTTCCAAGTCTCATCGCTGAACTTTACTGCGTTTAAAATTCTTTTCTTAAAATTTATTTAGGTTTAGGCTAACTTTTCGCAGATGTGAATGTAAGCAAATCTGCTCCTACACCGTTAAATGATTACGTTGGTTAATAAAATTATTGTTCCATTGCCAATGTGGTATCAGGTCTTATAGCTTGAAGATAATGAAAAGCGATCCTAATTCAATGGTTGTGCGAAATTTATTCGCTTGAGTATAGTAGAAGTGCCATCGGAAGCATATTACGATTCTTCAATTCGCGTAGCATCTCTGCTTTAAGTTAAATATAATAGATTTGCTCTCTCTCCCCAGCAACTTTGAATTGCTTTAATTGTTCGTTTAATATGGAAAAAATTGCTAACCGTTGACAGCATAACTTCACCGCTAACCTTATTATCGCAATCAAATACAACAGGTAGACGCAGTATGCATTTTTTTATTTGTTCCTAAAATAAAGAAAGGTAATGAAGAAGAAACCGTCGCAATACGGTGCATAAACATTTCACATTATATATATATGATATATACAATGCGAACGTCATAGTCCATGCGTTTCACTAAATGCACACACACAAATTTTCAAGGACGCAGTAAGAAACGACTGAAGACATATGTATATGGAACACATGCGAATAAGCGTAAGCTATTTTTATAACAACAGCATAGCAGCGACAATGGCAGTAATAAACATAAAACTTGCAACAGAAGCAAGTGATACAAATAAAAAACAAGAACAATATAGTCGGAAAAGGCCAAATTTTTAAATACCCTACACCGTTGATTTTTAATTACACTATAATAATAACATTCATTCGACCTAGAGATTGAACACAAATTTACATGGGGTGACATTCGGTAGACAGACAAAATAGACAGACTTAAATTTATTTCCTGAATCGATTGGTATATTTAAAAGTTAATTTTATCTTAACCCTTCTTGGGCGTTACATACGGCCACATAAACTTAATATACCCTGTACCACAAGTTGTGTAGGGTATAAAAACCAAGAAATATGGTTTAAAACGAATTTTTTCATATCGATTCTCTTTTAGTTAATTTTTGTGGTTTTTCGTAATGAAAGCTTATCACCATACATAACATATATGGCTGCATGTTGTTCAAGTACAAATATGACATTAATATAACAAACCATTTTCGTAGTCTAACATATCGATATCATACATATGGCGACAAAAAGGTTCGCTTAAGCTTCTATACAAGTAAAGACCACCACACCCTATGGGTAGCTTAACATAAGATAGACACAATTATAATAAATAACTCTATGAACGGGTAGATATGTAATTATATCAGTAGTCTTCCGTGTATTGTGTTTTAATTCTTTAAAGTTAAGTTAGTTAAGTCTCACTGTTGCAATGGGGATTTTGATAATAGTAGACAGAGTCGGACAAGATGGCAGACAGACTTTAGAACATAATCTAAACGAAAATATGTATTGCCTTGGAAGTCGCTGATATCTATATAACAATGTTACAAACGGTACGTCCAACATTTTTGTGCTATTTAGATGTACTACTGTGGGGAATGGAACGAGTTTTGGCCGTAAGATAAAAACTGATGGCTAAAATAAAACGCATATGTTAAGACTTTATGCTTTGAACACACTTATATATATATGTATGTGTATATTTGAGTATATGTATGTGTGTTGTATACGATCATGAGTAAATTATTATAAAGAACAACAAAAGAAGATTTGTTACAAAAATTCTATATATATACAATAAAACCGTATGTATATATGTATGTATGTATGTATGTATACATTTATGTATTGTGGTGTACATGTATGATATAGAAAGTTAAAAAGTTATTTTTAAAACAAAAAAAAAAAAATATTCAAAACCACTTTTCTGCCATCGTGATAAGAATGCTGGGGAAGTAGTTTGAATTAATATGAAATAAGAAATAAAATTCTTACTGAAAGTAATTATATATAACACGAATATAATGATGTTGACAGAGATGACGATAATTTTTGCGAAAGCAAAGTAAATAGGGCAGTAGCATGTTTGAATGCAATAAATTTCTTTGAAAATATTTCGAAATGCCTCGTTATCGTTAACAAAAGGGCTCTAAAAAAAAAAAAAAAAAAAAAAAAATTATAGACACTTTAACGTCATAAATTAATGAAAATTAATTTGAAATTTAAGAATTTTCAAACTTAATAAACTTTTCAATATATTTATTCATTTGCGATCATAAACTGTTAAAAACATTTAAATGAAAAAACTTTCTAAGCTATCCAAACATGAGATTAGTATATAACCTTTAAGTCATAATAAAACCTTTTATTTATGATATGCTCAGTTGTAGTGTTAGAAAAAACAACCAAAAAAAAAAAAAGCATTAAATTGGAAGTAAAATGTACAAGTTTATGTTAAGTTAATTTTTGTGACTCTGCTCAATGAAAAACAAACGCAGCAAATGTGATTTCTCTGCACAATGATATTAAAATCGAATATACACAATCTAAGAAAATTTTGTAATATAATCAGGAAAAAGGCGGAAAGAAAGGCGAACATAAAATTCTTCTCATTCTTTGCGTAAACATTTTGACAAGAAAATGCTCAAGCAATGCTCCTTTCACCGTTGAGGAAGTGTTAGCCTTTGTAACTTTTGTCGTATTAAATCGACTTGAAAGCACTCTTACATTTAAAGGCTACTTCAGGAATATCGTTCAGATTGTCATTAAAGACGAGCGACCAACTTTTAACTTAAAGTTCTGAAAACTTTTAATAAATATTCGAGATAAACATCTTATTGATTATAGTTTTATTATTATTATTATTATAAATTTAGCCAGAGAATAAATACTAAGACTAAAGTCTTAAAGCACTAGCATCTAAGACTTCTTGAGATTCGAATTCACGACTACTTAGTTGCTAATCGAGACTCTTGCTTACTCGGCCATTCAGGCGGATTATTGATTATATTTATATATATAATATATAGATGTGCGATATGTTATTCTTACGCACGCTTTAGTGTCTAATAATTTTCGAGTCATTACATGCGTCTATTTGTGGATTGTGAGGAATTTACATCCACTTCCCCAGTTAGTCTATAAAATTGATCGTAGAATATGTTTAGGGTCCGTATTAGGGTCTTTTAGAAATTTTGCATTTTTCCTTGAGTCCAATAAAAGATGGACGGCCGCTTAAATCGAACATACCTTTACCGCAACAACACTAATTATTTTCGTTTCAACATTGACCGTGGGGCGGTAACGCATTGCTTTCACCACCTGAGCAAATTAATTTGTTAATTACGTTTATGTTTAATGTAAAGAAAAACTAGTCACCACACATTTTTCATATTCCAATATGACCTTTTTTTTTTTAAAAGCACCTCTCATGCCTTTTTTTTTTTTGCAAATTAATTAAAGAGTCAATGAAAGATAAGAAAAAAAAAAAAATATATAGGAATGCAAGAGTTAAGTGTAAAATTGTTATGTTTTCTCAAGTCATAGAAAGATCACAAGATAGAAGAATTTACTCTTCCATAGGTAATATGGAGAACTTTAGAGCTTTAGAGAAGTCGTGGAACGATTGTGTCTTCTTGATTAACGTTGGATTCTGAATATCTTTAGTATCGTTTGTCTGTCTATGGATCGGTGCATTTGCTCGCCCCCTGATGTGCCATATAATGAAATTCTACTGAAATATTTTCATTTTATAGAAACCGTTGCCCAGGATAAGTAGTAAAATTCCCAATTTATTCGCAATAGATATTTATGTGAAACTAGGAATCAACTAAACCTGCTTTGCTATCAATAAAAAAAAGAGTATAATCTACAATCGATATGAAAGAAGTTGATCTAAAGCTATGTATCGACTCGGCTAAAAGGTCAATGTTAAATGAAATCTGTTCAACCAACTGTTGCGCCCGTATTTAATAAACTATACCTAATTCTACAGTCTAAGAATCGCGGAAGAGAATATCGCAAAGGAATATTCATTCCAGAGATTCGTCATCGTAAAGCCAGGTTTACTCGTTTCTAATCGGCAAAAATCGTTGCTGATTCAATTCATTTCAAACACTTGTACTTTTTCATATATATATATATATGTATATATAGCTCCGTCCTTCCGTCAATATTATTCGTCAATATATATAATAATTTATTTTGACGCTTTTTAATTCAATTGTAAAGTGGTACCGTTGAAGGTAATTTGTCAAACAACATTAAAAAACAACAATGCCTAGAACTTGTAAATATCTCAAGTGCTTACCATAATATTTACATGAGTTATTATAAAATTCAATTGATGTGTCCGTAAAACATATACTCGTCAAATTTATTTCATTCAACATTTACCTTGATTTTGAAAATATATTTAGGAAAAGTTTCATTCGCGTGCATTTAAATAGCAATATTTCAATAAATAATATAAAATAAAAAAAAATAAAAATGAAAAAAAATAAAAAATTTGGAAGTATAAAATTATATACACTTCAGGTGAGCTTTAATGAATGAAATTTATGATCTGTACGTAAAACAACCGTTTAACACTTACCTGAGTTCTGTAATCAATTTAAAAAAAAAAAAAGTGCTAAATATTTATTCAACTATAACGATTTCTCCTTCAGAAAATTGAATATTTTTTTGCTTAATTAATTGACCGCAAATTGTTTGGTTGTTTCTTTTTTTTTTTTTTTCTTTCAACGCAATTTAATGCAATTTTTTTTTTTTTTTTTTTTGTACTTAAAATTGATATTAAATAATTTTTCTATCAGATCAATGCATCTTTTTAATGTCAATTTTTATAAGGAGACCAATCAAAGAACTGAATTAAAGAATGAAATAGAAAGTGATATACTCGTTAGTGTGATGCCTTGTTTGTTATATAATTTTTCACTAATCTTCAAAGAATTTTTGATGGGCTTTTATCAATAATTAGAATATTATAATAGTCTATACGAATGGAAGGATTAATTATGTCTATCCAATCCTTACGTTCATGCATCCGTATGACAACCGGCTGTAATAACAGGAATTACCAAATGTTGCTAGCAATAACTGTTAACAAAGCAACAGCACCTGTCTCCTCTGCGATGTTGCGAATGAATCAATGCCATTGCCTCGTCACGCGGCAGGTGAATTGCGAATTTGATAATTTCTCTTTTCTTTTTTTTTTTTATGTTTATGAGAGAGGAAATATATACTCAAACAACGACAAAAAGAGGCCATGTAGCAAAAAAAAAAAAAAAAAAAACGAAAGAACTTTAAAATTAAGAAACAAGAATCGAGCTAAGGACTGAAATATAATCCGTAGACTTATTAACTGCTGCTTATGAAAGAATCCATTAAGATGAAAGTCGGCGAGCTTTTTGCTAAGCAAATAGGTTAAAAAAACGATTCACAGGCGACTTAGAGTGATTCTCATTAATATTGAGTTTTTTCGCTCGACGAAAAGTAAATGCTTATTAAACCTAAAAATTTTTTTATTCTTTTGTGCTATTGGGGAAATACATATTAAAATGTAAAAAAAAAACAAGCAAAACATAATTCCAATAGACAAGAAAATGAATGATCTCCAAGAACTCAAAAAACATAGCATCATTAATATTTGGGTTTTTTTCACATAAGGAAGGATAACAAGAAAAAAACCAGCATATTATTAAAAATAAATACACGGTGGGACATACTTTTTGCTAAACAACGACACACTTTCTATAGTTTTCCCTTTGTAGGAACCAGAGATTTTACTCCATCCTTCTTGTAGTGTATCTTCCATTTCTTAGACGGAAGAGATGTCGTGTTTTGCCACACGGCGGTCTAATTCATTTCACACATTTTTTGGGGGGTTTATGCTTAGTGATTGAGAAAGATGGGACTTATATAGGAGCCATTCTTCAATTAAGCGGGCTTGAGATAGGCAGAATTTGAATGTTTCCTTCAATATCCTTAAATAACACTCCTTGTTTGTAAAAATTTCGACAGACGGTTCGACAAATAGAGCGCGAACGGCAGGACGGATTTATTAATTAAAAAATTGGCTTGAAATGTTAAATGTCAACTAAAGCGTATTGCTAACCATAAAAATTGAAAAGCGATGAAACGTCTTCCATTCTTATAAACTGTGCCAAATGCATTGTGGATAAAGCCGATAATAAAATGAAAAAGGCAAAGATGAAATTTTTATAACACAATCACTTTGGAATGACACTTAAGTATGACATCAATTTTAAGAGAGTTGATTGCTTTTTAGATATGATTAATTGCCTGAGACAGTAAAAAATTATATATATATATATATATATGTATACATATATAAAGGTATCACACAAACGAGCATATATCCATAAACTTTAATTATCAATTAAACAAAGTGCATAGCCCGTTAACAATATGTAATTAATCGGTGTAAATCATTCTTTTTGAAAACTTTTTTTTTGGAAAATCTTTTCTTTTTGTTTTTTTTTCATATTCCTTAAAACACATTTTACAACTTGTACAATTAATTTATGGCGTAGTAGTTGATTTTTTTTCTTTTTTTTTTTTTTAGATATTTATTTTTATTTTTATGATCTTTAACGGCACCTTAAATTGTTGGCTGGCTGGCTTAAAGCCAATTATTGTAGAAACAAAAAAAAAACCACATTAAGGAAATGAAAATACAAATGAATCATGTATACATACACACACACAAAAGATGAAAGAAAAATCAAGACTAAAGAGTGACGTGCTTTCTCTTTTGCTTTCATTGCTATCCTCATTGCTTTGCTATTCATTTCTCTTCGTTTTCTATCGATTGTTTTCTTTTTCCTATTTTTCTTTTATTGTTTTTTTTTTTATAGATAGATATACTCTTTGAACTTGAAATTTTCATTAGCACATCATTGTTGTTAGCCATCTGCGTGGCAGACTCGTTTTACGATTCGATGTGCGACACTTAAGAGATAGTGAATCAAAAATCTCGCATATCTCTCCTATTATATCGACGCCATCAGGTTATATTCACGTGTTCACGAAAATTTTGCACAAAAGTCAAACGCGACGTTAATGTCAAAACGGTTTTCGATATTTTATCCCATCATTTTGTTTATCATTTTTTTCTCATGTTATACGAATGCACCGAAGTAATTTACAAAAGTAAATACATTTTTTTATCAGCCTATGATCGTAGCACAGTTCACGCATATAAACAACATGAACACATAAAGAGTCAAACACAATGGATGCGTGTGCCTTGCGCAATGCATTAAACAGTTAAAACACATAATTTGCTTTCCAATTCCATCCAACTCTGCACTAAAAATGGTTGGCATGATGATTGGATTGAAAAATTTAATCATATCATTAAGTTTTATTTACGTAAACATTAAAAAGCCAATTATTTGTTCCTTTTTTGTTTTGTAACTTAACAATAACTGATGTTACCAGTGTTTTTATCGCTTTCTATATGTATGCAGAGTTCGCAGTACAATTGGTATCCTATATAGTGTTGAGCTGCGCAAATGATGCCACATTTTTGCTGCAAGGATAACAGTGATCGTGCGAACCGCTTATATGCATGTTTTACGAAAGTGAAGCCAAGGCAAATGTGCGATCGAGTCCTGTACATGTAGATCGTTCTGTACATTCTAGGACGTTTTTGTCGAAATCTTGAACGCCAATTCTATCCCGGACAGAAAGAGTTAGGAAAAACAGTTCAAAAAAACGCTGTGAGACTTGTAATATGTAGGAGCACCACTTCTAACTTGGCTTCACTTTCGGAAAGCTTTTTTTCCGTGAGTCCGTTTCTTGGCTTCCATAAATTTCTTTTTTCCTCGCTTTTTTTCTCTATTATAATAACAGCTGTTTTTTATTTGCCAATGGCATGATTGTTTTTATACTTAAAGCAACAACTTGGCATCACTTTTGGAGTGAAACAAAATTGAAGCGATTCTGCAAAGAATCAAGAATTGGATTTGTACGTTCAATTCAAAGTGAAGTGCGACGAAACCAACCCTATTATAAGGTGTACAATAAAAACGGGTAAAATATCACTGTATCACTGGAAGATCATATCGCGCTTGAGACGAACGTGATTGTTTTGCTTATCAATGCTCAAGTACTCGCAATAAAAATAAAAATTTTCTGCGCAATCTGCCGGCATCGGCGCAGTGATGCATGCAAAGCTATATGTTTAACTATATGTAAAGGCGTACAATAATCTCGTGAAGTGTGTAGCATATGCATATATTATTGCCTTGGGCTGTTTAAGACTTTCAAACAATTCATGCGTCTATTTGTCTCGAAAAAAGCTTATTGAAGCAAATGTTCTTTGTTTTTGTGTTCAGACATAGAGCTTAAAACAATAAAATATATATTAAAAATCGGAGAAAGGAAAATTTTAAAATATGTTTCATAAAAAAAAAATTACAGTTAATAGCACATGTAAAAGTCTATGATTTGAAACAAAGTCTCATGCTTGCATGCTCTGAAATATGAAAGCCTAACAGACGTTGCTGTTGAAGTCCAAATGATTAGCTCTTTTAGCTCTGGCTGGGAAATTTTAACTCCTCCAATCTTTAGATGATTAGATGCCAGGAAAAAGCATCGATCGCAAGCCGCAGCGTTTCTATTTATATCGAACGATTGTTGATCATTAAAGAACGTGAAGCCTTTAATGTTCACTTCCATAGATTTGATGACTTTTAAACGTTATGTTGTTTGTCCGGACTATTTATCAAAGAGCTAATTAGCCCTTATGCCATAATGAACACGACCGCAAATAGCTTTGTTGTATCTAAATAACTGCGTAGCGTTCAGAAAAAAGCAATTTTGTTTTTGTATTTTTGTTTTTTTTAATGAATAGTTTTTTTTCTATTTTTTTTTTTTTGTCGGCATGCACGTAATGCTCGCTCGTACGTTGGTGGCGCTAAATAAATTCCATTGATAATTATTAACAATCGCTAGCATTTTCACTCACTCTTTCCGAATTCTAAATTTGTTTTTTTTTTTTTTTTCATTATTATTCTTAATTAGTTTGATTTTTTGATTACAAATTTAAATAGCAAGCAATTCCGGTCACTGATAATGAAAAACTTGGTTAAATGTGATACGAGCAAGAAATAGATAGATAAGTCGGATGGATATAGAAAAGATAACGAACGATTCACCGATATATGTGTAATGATGACTTAGGATTTTGGATCGCGATATTGATTTAGGAAACCTATGCAGAAAAAAAAACCTTCAATTTTGTCTTTTACGGCTTTCCTATTATACGTCCCTGAAACATTCTTACTTTTCTACGTCAATACAAGGATTTGTCCGACTCTTCAGCTTTTTTTTTTTCTTGGCAATACTTTGAATTGATTTCTTTTATAAGGATTGGAGCATGCAAAGCAGGTGTACCTACGCTGCGATTTCGCTTATAATTGACACTTTTGTAAAGTTATATGCACTTTATGGCATCTTCGATCTTTAGCTAAGTAAGAATGCTATGAAGCGGTCAATGAACCTCTCTCTCTCTTTTAAGATTTTATCTAAAGACAAATGAAAAAGTAGAAAAATGCATTACTTGGAACGTTGAGGAGCACATTAATTGTTAATTTTTTAAACCCCAGTGTCAGTGAAGAATATCGATCAATTAAAAGAATTAATAATTAAAACCAAATATAAATTGTACGTAAGTAAGTCGGCCATTAACATGATTGGCATAAACTGATAGTTAA